AGTGGCTCGCCTTTGGCTCCTCAGGGTTCACTCTTTTAGTGGCTACCCTGTGGCTCATGGCTTTGGAACAATGCAAACCCACCCTTCACTCCATCTGGAGAGGAAGGTTCCCTGATTACTGGGTGTCTTTGAAAGATGGAGAGTATTTGCTCAGGATATAGTGTTTAGGCCCAGCATTTAAAACACTTCAGGAGACACTGAAAGAGGTAAAAATGAGAGGCAGCATTACTAGTGTTGAAAACTTAGGATTTTTTTTCCTCCTGCTTTTCAGAATATGCTAAAAAGGAGAAACCCATTATTTGTAATGTCACAAAGCAAAGTGACAATTTCTTTTGTTAGGCTGCTGTTCTGACAGATTGTATTGAAAAGTGCCCTTTATATGAAAAACAGTTTTCATGGAAAACAAACACTCAAAGTATGTGCAAAATATTTTATGCCCTCTTATATCATTAAATTTAAGTGTCAGATCTTTTGGCAGCTCTTCAATAACAATGAGGAAGCTTTTTCAGAATTTTTCTGAATTCTTCAAAATGAGAACTTCAGACTTTTTACATCGACAGTTTTTAATCAGCTAAAAGCTGGTTTTCAATAGTTTTGCACTTGGAAATAATAATTTTATCTTTCTAACACAAACAATCCTGTCCAAACTGTACCCCCTGCAAATGTAAGCTTGGAAAGTTCTAAGGAGAAAGGTGTGATGGTTACAAAAGAACAAGACACTGAACAGCATTTATTAGTTGTTTACTGTTATTTTAACAGCATCCCTTCTTAGGACTCATTACCTCATATATTCACTTGATGCATATCTAGATATTTATCAGAATATCCTGGCCGTCATTAGTAAACTTTTATCCAACCATCTGTTGCAAAGGATGACAACTCTAGTAGAGTTGTTTGGGAATTCCACATTTTACCAGTGATGCTGTATCTGAGACCATCCACTCCCCTCCATTTTGGGAACTGTCTTGGTTCTTATTTTCTCCTTAGAGTTGGAGCAGGATTACATTCTCCTTATTAAATTTTAACTTAAACTGAAGAAAGCAATACTGAAATGGTGAGAATTTGGGAGATGTGAGAACATGCTATTCAAAGAATACCTTTTCAATATGCTAATCAGCACTTTATTTTCTAGGTGACCTTTCCAGAGAAATCCCCCATGCAGTGGGATGGGGAAGTTAATGCTGGTTTTACTGAAGGCAACAGTAGCTGGTTACCTGTTAACTCCAACTACGGAAGTGTAAATGTGGAAGTAGGTATCTGCATGTGTGACAAATTAATGGTTTAAAAATATTTTAGCGTTATCTGTTGTCCTCTGGCTTCCTTTTAGTAGTGGGCATTGGCAGTAAGGACAGACTCAAGGGGGAAAAAAGCACTGAATCCTCACAAGTTTTATTAGAAAAGGAATTCCTTGCACCAGCAAGGAGCCTACTTCATCTATATTCCCTTAAGCAGAGCAACTGCAGTTGTGATGTTGATGTGGCAATTTGGCTCTTTAACATCCTTTTAATCCTTTTAATATTTGTGCTGGTTTAAAAGTAAACCAGTGGGAGAAATAAACCCAACTCGAAAGATTACAAGTCAGAGTTACAATTTACTAAGAAGATTACAATACAATGATAACAGAGAAAACTGGTTTTAACCCCTAAAGACAGATGTATAACCCAGCACCCTGGGACAAAAACAGAACAATGTTTGTCAGCCCCTGTACCAACCACCACATGGTCCCCCTGGGTGCAAAGTAAAAGGAAAGGAAAAGCTGTTAGTCCAGATGATGGTCGCAGTCCTGCTGAAGTAACAATTGCAGTCTTGCCAAGAGTGGCAGTTGCAGTCCTGTTGAAATCCTGGTTGTCCTCTTGATCCAATGAGTGGTACCAGAAGTCCTCACACCGAAGTTTATATATGCTCAAGTTCAGCATATATGTCCAGTACGTCCCCCAGGATGGGGAGTTTCACAATGGGCGATTTAACTCTGAGTCATGGGATATTTTTGGAATCTTTGATGGTCTAGGTTTTGCAGCTGTTTATGTCCATGGGCCACCAGTCCAAGGTGGCCCATTAGCAGCGATGACCCCTTAGGCTGGGTGTGAAGGTGTTAATGCCTTTCTGGAGGGGAGTTATCACAGCTAAGTCATTGGTGTGAAAACAAAAGAACACTCCCCTGCCTCATAGGGTTTCTTTAACACCCAGCTTGTAGCCTGAGGTGTCAGGTGTGCCCTGGGCAGCTGCTGCAAACAATTTCATTTATTAACAGTCCATCAGAAATGACATAGAGGATGTAGAATGCACAGTTTTGGTTATACTCACATAGTGATAAACTGGTCCCAACCCCTGTAACTAGGACAACATTAAATTGAAATTGGGTCTTTTTCCCCCCCCATTTCTATTGCCACAGAAAGCACTGTCTGTGTAACAAGAACCTAACACAGACTATCTCTAACATATGTAGAGCAGTGAAGCAAAGAGATTTTGCTGACCTACGGTGCTGACCAAAATTGAAGACCAGAAAAAAAAATCTAAGATATCAAAAATATAAAACATGAAATGTCTAATCGACTTCAGTAGATTAGACTCAAAGAAAAAGGTTCAGTGTCAAGCTTTGAATGGCTGCAGCTTTCTCCTGAATCAACAGTGCTAAAAGGAGGCTGTGGGAGAAAGCAATAGTGTTAGTGCTGAGGAATCATTGTGTCTCATAACCTGTGTCTCTGCCATTTCACAAACGCCTGGTAAGTACGTGAGAAAAAGCAGTTTTTCAGTGAAATTTGTGGACAAATTTGAAGAGAGGTAATTGTTAAAATCCAATAGGCGCGTTCTCAGCAGACTGAGTGGGCGTGAGAGGGAAGCTGCATTCCCTACATGCAGTGCCAAGAACTGACCCTGTTCACACTGACTGTTGCAGATCCAGAGGACCTGGTCCAACTCAACCCTGAATTTGTACAGAGAGCTGACGCAACTTCGCAACAACGAGCTCCCCATTAATCGGGGGTGGATGTGCTACATCTGGAATGACAGTAACGTGTTTGTATATGTGAGGGAACTGGATGGGTTAGACAGAACCTTCATGATGGTCCTCAACTTCGGGCAGGAATCGACAATAGACCTGACAGCTATAGTTCCTAATCTTCCCTCTGAAGCTGTTATAAGGCTAAGTACTAATTTTAGCAATGCTGGTAAAGCTGTCTCTGCCAAACTAATTAAAACTGAAATGGGAGAAGGCCTGGTCCTCGAATATAAAACAGCAAAGCCTGTCCATACTATGGAAGCTTTTCAAGGAAAGTGTTTTGTGGCAGAAAAAGCTTGTTATTCCATGGCCTTAAATTTACTCTACATGAACTGTTAAGTACAGGAATAGAATAACTAAGCTTTCGTGTTAATTTAGAAGATATTGGTTTCAAGGAAATGCTAAAAATATTCAGTTTTCTTTGGCTTTCCAAACTTTGTACAAAATAACCTGAAAACTAAAACAGACACCTAATGTCTTGTATGTGAATTGGTGATGAAAAGGAAAAAGTATGGTATAAACTCCCCTTTAGGGTCTGTGGAGAAGAAAAGTAAACCTATAAAAAACTGTCCTGTTAAAGTGTGTGTATTTTTGGGAGGAAAGACAACAGTTGCTTTTTGGGTGCTACCCCTTACAGTTGCTGGCTATTAAGAGCTGGTTATTAAGAGCTCCAAAGCCTGTGGCAGTTCATAATACATGTTTACAAATGTGTAGGTTTGTGAAACTTATTCTAAAGCAAATACCCTGTATTTGCTAAAACAGGTAAACACAAGCAGGACTGATATATATGGTTGTGATGTCTTTTCTCTCAACTCTAACAGCTCTGATTATCCTCAAAATTAGTAAGGAAAAGAACAAAATATAGCTAATATATCTAATTCTACACTCAGGACTGCATTTCAAATTGATTCCTCCCCTCCCTGCTGAATTAGAATACATTTGCATTCTCTTACTTCTCTTCCTACTCTAAGGCTGAGGTGAGGGGTGTGTACTTTAGTCCAGAGTAAGCAGCTGAAGCAACTGTCACAGCTGAAGCTGATTGTCACACTTGTGCTTTGATTTGCATTTGCTGCACCTACAGTGGCTGATGCAGCCCAAAGGAAGAGTCAGCATTTGACTTGGTGCAGTCTGCTGTGGGCACAGGGGTCCATCACAGGAACTTAGTTTTGGTTTGAGGACAGTATGGCCACAGTGTATCTTCCACCCGCTGCTGGCCCTAGGTGTGCACCAAGCACGTATTTTAAAAAGCAATGCACTGCTGGTTTGTGCCTTGCTTAGAGGGCAGCTAAGCTATGAATTGGGCTGCTTCAGTGGGGGCATCCTTTTTGTTTTATCCTCTGGAGAGACTCTGGCATCATCCTCTGGGGCATTCATCTGTCTTCCAGAGGGACTTTGGCACCTCCTTTTTAAGATTACCATGCTAGTAAAGGTAACTGCAAGATTTTTAATCTACTCAGATCAAAGAGTTCTACCAAAGTTGCTGTTCTTGAGAGTCCATTTTTTGCAGTTTGATCGATCCCACCATATGATCAGTACACTATGACTGCTGTGTAGATAGGAAGGGCAGCAGTCATCATCACCTACATATGGGAATTAGTTTTAGAAGTAGTGAGACTTTTTCATCAAATACTACTTAGGGATTTTACTGCCTTGTGTAAAAGGTGGTCTCACAAGAGATGGCTTAGGATGGAGAGGCTCCCTGTACAAAGTGCATGTGCTACTCACGTGAGGCTTTATGTGCCAGTCGCTGTGCTCAGCTCTGCTTGTGTAGCGCTGCACTGCTGGCTTGTGTGAACAGAACTTACTGAACAAACTGATTTATGCTGGCAGCTACTTCTGTACTACCAGGCAGCAGAGAAATTCAGTTCTCGGTCTGTATGTTTATAAGCCAATGCCACACCCAGCTTTGTGCGCTTATGCCCATAAAGCAGGGATCCAGGAGCAGAGATCCTCTGGAGAAGGTGTTTACTTTCCATATAAATAAAAATCCGACACGAAGTTCTTCAGGTGGTCATTGTGTTTATTAGCTATCTGCAGGATTTGCTATGATGTTGGAGATGGCATACTTCCTCAAGTTCTTTATTGAGAAAAGCAAGGTGTCTTGCGACCTAAAATAATGAAAATATTTTATTACAAAGTAAAATTCTTTGCACTATAAACCTTGAGGCTCTTGTGCAGCTATCCTAATCTTCTTCCTTTCCTAGACTAATGCTAAGAAATATCTTGCCCTAAAACAGAATGAAGCTCTTCCTGAAAGAATTCATTTTGGGAGTTACTGCCACAACCACCAAATTAACATTTGCTAGGATTTGTTCAAAATAACAGTAATAAAATTTGTATCCAACTGTGATAGTCTGAGACATCGATAACAATATACTGAGTTGCTTTTAACAGGCACACTTGTATAAAGTGTAAAATCTCGAAAGCTAATTGTAATAGCTTTGATAGTACAGATCATGCATTTTCAAAATGTAAAGATCAAACCCATCATATGTCTTACACATGAAGAAGATGGAAGTAAATAGTATGACAATTTTAAGCACTTAATACTCTACAGTGCAAGACTTTTCCTGCTGGAATAATGTTTTGCCCAACTTAGAACCTTTCATTCAATGCTCTCAACATGTTACAGTGGGAATTGAAAACTGTTTTGAGGCTGTTTCAATAATCTGGCCCTGTCACTGTCTCTTTTCTATCTATAGAAGTATATATATTGATAAATATATATAATTATGTATATAAATTGCTGTGTTATAGATATATAAGACCAGCAGTTGCTCTTGCAGTTTTTCTTTTTTATACTTTAAACATACATTCAGTGACTGCACAACTACTGAAACTTAAGTATCAATTGAGGGACACCTCCCTCCAACACGTCATGGACATGTACAATAAAGGGAACATACCTCACTCACTGAGTGCTCCCAAGATGAATCACAATGGCTGCCATTTGCCTGGACATCTAAGATGATATTAGGAATCCAATTTCCTGGAACAATGAAGCTAGTGATCACTTTACATTGAATGAACAAGGAAAAAGGTAAGTGGGGATGTGAGTTGTTTAGGTATAGATAATTCTGCCTTCTGTCCTGACAGAATTTCTATTATTCCTTAAAAAATAAAAAAAAGGATCATATAGGGGCTTTCTGAATGAATTATTGGTATTTCTCTTCATTGCATATTTGAGGAATATTTATCTATTTAGAGTGTTTGTTCTCTTTGAGTCTTTTTGGAAAGATGTGGTTTTTGATTTCTGAGCAAAGACCACAACAGCAACTGCAGCATCTCAACCATCACAGTTGTGCTGCTTGCAGATACAGGGCATAATGAAAATCAGAAAAGGTTATTCAGGATCTCTTTTGATGCTGATGGTAAAAACCTCTCCCCAGATGAGACAGTACTAGAAAATGGTAAGGCTTGAATGTACCTTTTTGCTGGAAAGTGTCCCAAAGCTAGTGTTAAGTTTCAGGTATAAAAGCACCTGTGCCTTGGCCTTGCTGTCATTCTGCCTTGGACTAAGACCTGCAGCTTTATCAAAGTGAGAAAAGTAGTTTTTTGTAGAGCAGCAAAAGTAAGATTTCATCCAAGCGTTGCTGAGAACTGCAGTCTGGGCCTGTTGGTAGCTGGACTGAGGTATGGGTTCACCTTGCACTGCCCAACAGCTGCCGTATGTTGAGGCCTAAGAAAGAGTGAGCCCCACTCACGTGCTCCCAGTCTTTATTTTTTTGCATCTCAGAGCCTGTAGAGCTAAAAATATGGGATTGTGTTGTACAAATGAATTAATGTAAGGAGGTGTCAATCTCTATGGTGTTTATTACATGACTATTAATATTTGGTTTAACCAACTCCGTTTACTGGTAATATTCTTACCCTTACCTTTCTTACTTGTTCTGCTGGCATGATCTAGTGCAGCCTTCCTAAGTTTCTGAACATATCGTAAGACTCCTGTTAGTGGTATCCGTTGATCATTTTCATAAGCCGTGATAAAAACTGAAGGATAACACTGAGGTTAAAAACCAAAACCAGTTAAATACTTGACAATTGGTTTTTCTCACAGAGTAACAAATTTTTTTCTTACTGTACAACTTGTTAGGATTTATCTAAAAACATGTATTACATAATTACTTAAAAAAACTCACTTTTATCACTAACTGCAAAAAACATTTTGGTCTGAAAAATTACTTCATGGTAGGGGATTATCTACTTGCAAAAGGTCATCAAAAACATCCTCCTCCCACTGGTATAAGTCTGATAATTGCAAAAAAAAAAAGGAGTAGCAGTCATGGAATGGTTCACCTTAGAACAATAGCTGAGCTTTATTTTTGCTATCTTTCTGCAGAGAAAAAGTTGTTTTTTTAAATAGTAAGATTTTACTTCATGAAGCTATGTAACACAGCTAACACATTATTTCAAATAAAGAAAGATTTCCCCTGAGATGACAATGTCAGAGCTATAGCTCCTTTTCCATTTCGGTGTTTGCCTCTCAGAAGGTATTAAATCAGTTGAAAATACTGCCTTCCTTCTGTGACAAAGTCTGCAAAACCCAGCAGAACAACAGAAAGTCCTGACAAAAGGAGAAGATACTTTGCATGTTGAGGTTTGTTATACCATAGAGTAATCTATTACTTCCTGGGAGTCCTAAAAAGCAAGTTTTGAAATATATTGATTATTTAGGAGAAGGCATTCGGTTAATCTCAGTAGTCACTTGGGACTCCAAATATTGCTAAGATTATTACAGAAATAATTCATATTGGAGTTTTTTTAAATTTGTTATCCACTTTCTGTTTTCTGCAAAAAGTTGTAAACCACTACACTTTATTACTGTAGTACTCCACACAGAAAGCATAGTTTTACCTGTGGCTTAATATTCTGGTATGGACAATAGCTTTTGATATACTTCATACATTTTTCATCTTCTAATGGATTTCCCCATTCTTCTTGTTCCTCAATTGTCAGTGGGAGATGAGTTTTCATCATTGTATTTAGAACATCTACAAAAGGAGCCTTAGAAGTCATTAAAAGAAAAAAAAGTTGGCAAATAGGACAAAGGACCTTGAATGCCTGAGTAAATGTGTTCTCAAACAAATGAAGAAAGTGAATTTTGAATTGGAATGTTTCCAATTCAGAAACTGGTAGAATGAAACAGAAAATACAGCTTAATGTTGTCATCTATAAAAAGTCTGCAGCACCTCACCTGTAAAACCATGGCTCTGATCAGTTCTGGATCAGTGTTGCACAGGGCTCCTGCAAGAACTCCTCCAGCACTGGCAGCTGCCAATGCTGTGTGTTTTGGCTGAGAAAACCCCAGTTTGTGCAGCAGCATGATGCAAGCCTTAAGGTCATGGAGACCTTTGAGTTTATTATGCTGACATCCATCTTTGTGCCAGCTAAGGCCTAGCTCTCCTCCACCCCTGAAATTTAAAGAAATTCAAGTTTGAGTCTCTCTGGAAAATATTACACAGCAAAGCTTCAGATAATGAAAGAGCAGCAGCAGCCATGGAGTTGCAAAACCATAGTTTGCCTTCCTAATTAACTCTTATTTTCTCTATTTTTATCTTTACCCTCAGTTATGGCTAAAAGACACAACCTGAAGACAAAATAAATCCATGCATGATGATTGGTGAAAATACTAACTCTCTAAGGGCACCCCATGCCCTTGTGTGCTCGTGTCCTGGAACTCACAGAGAATGCACCACTTTAGGACACTGTCCTTGTAGGCAATACAAAATCAGACAATAATATTATCTTTCTACACAAGAAACTATTAGAACATCTAAAACATTTTCAACACTAGCATTTATTCAAAACAGTAAAACAGCTCCACAGCAGACTCTCAGGATTTGAATTCTGCATAGCTTAAATTCTGAGACTGTTAGAAAGGTGGGTTTGGGGTTTTTTTCCCCTAGTTTTTGAATTTCAAATACTACTTGAAATGTTACATTTTGTAATACAGGATTACAGAATGAATTTATATTTATTTCTGCAAAACCACAATTTTGGTTCTAAGCCACATGAAGCTTCCTTTTCTGGTTAATCTGCCATCTTTGGATGAAAAACCCATCTTCACCTAAGACTGGCTTGCATCTTAAGATACTTAGTGGGGCAGGAGGAAGAACAGCACACTGCTTGTCACTTGAGTACAGCAGATATATTTGTATGCTGAATTTGTTTTGGGACTGGTATTTCAAACAATTACGCATTTCCCCCCCTTCTTTTCCTTCCCCTAAAGTGATTCTTTTGTTGTCTTCCTTACATACTTACCTCAGTGACAATGTGAAGCCTATTGTACATGCTGGTTTTAGAAAACTGGTAGATTTGTAGCTAAACTGGAGACAGAGGATTTAGCCAATAAAAGAGCAAGAGATGTGGGTTAAATGCTTAGTTATTCCTGTAGCAGGCAAATGGTTTTCAGAAGCCATAGACTGATCACTAGCACACAATGCCCTCAGAAAGAGAGGGAGGTAACATGTTGCTGCAATTTGAACATGTTATCAACGTTTTTGTTGAGCAAAGATGAGACAAGAGGTAATGAGACTTCAAAAGATTGAAAGTTACGTACAGCCATCCTGTAGATTTAAGAAACCTAAATGCAATACGTACTCTTGTCTTCTTTTTCCCTGAGGTAAATTTATGTTAAAAAAATCTACAAAGAGATGAATAATTACAAATAGCTACATGAAAAAAATTTTCTCTACATCTTCAGTTGCACATCAAGAAATACCTGTATATCCTGCAGATTAAAATCTTAATTCCATTTTATATTTGACTTACCTAACATGGCAATATGCTAATATCCAACCCTCTTCAATTAACATCAGCTTCTCTTCTTTAAAGCTCATGTTCAAATCTATGCCATAAGCTCCATATACATGAACTAGAAGTGGTTTCCTGTGTAGCTCTTCAGAATTCATATTATGAAAAACTGTAATTGGCACCAAAGTTTCATCCTGGAAAAGGAGTATTTTTACAATAAGGGACATTGCAGAAATCTCAATGACACATGGCAATGAAAACTTCAATTATTTATTTTAAAATGTGTTTTTTTGATTACAGTAATTTTTTTTCACTTAAAATATTCAAAGCACTCTTGAAAAATAAAGCACGAGACTGAACCTCTGCTGTGTGGGCAGAGTATAAATTCATTTAAGTGCAACACCTGAGGAGTTTTTAAACTACCAAAGCACCCGAGTCTTCCTTCCCCCTTTAACACCAAGAATATATGTTATTAACAAAACAGTTTACCACTTACCACAGTAATAACTCTTTATTAACATCTCCAAATTTTTAAACTCAGGCTGTTAAAACTTTCCTTTCTTGATCTACACCGTGCAGCTGGTTGTGGGGAGCTCTTTTCAACAGAGCATCTTTTTAATTTATGATGCAGAGTACAATACCATACATCAACCAGCAATTCTAACTTATACTATACTAAGATCCTTGACTCATCGTATGCTGTTATCTCCTCTGGCATACCCAGGTTAATGGAAAAAAAAAATCACGACTCTTTCTTGTTCTTCTCTATAGCACTGAAGAAAACACCCACTGTTTAGTAACTATAGCACCAACTGCTCTTTACATTTTTTAATCTCTATTCCCTGCCAAATGCACTTTCTTTAAATGGGTGGGGAGGAAGCAAAGAATAAAAGGAGAGGGAAAAGACTGAAAAAAATCTTACCTTGCTTTTAGCTAGTAAACGTGTAGTGTGACAATTTGTAATAATTGGTACCTCTTGCACAGCTTGTTCAATGAGATTATTTTCTTTAAATGAATATGCAAAACGTTTAGGGGGGTGTACTGGGGAGGACAGCTGAAAATAGCAAGTGCTGGTGGTATGTTCAGGATGAGATTCCAATTCAAATTCACAGGCCCACGTAGGTAGCTGAGAAAACACGGCATTTCAAGTGAGACCCTTACACTGCTGCTGAAAATTTTGCTTAGTGTGTCCTTCAGAGGAAAAGGCTTTGGATATTAACTATTATCTTTAGTTTGTATGTAGCACAATCTGTATTTCTTTTAAATTCAGTGGTGAAAGAGTCAAAAAGTGACAGACTGGTGAACTTTTCCCCTGAGGCCATTGGATAAAGTTCAACATGAAATAAAAAAGAAAAACAAATTCAAATTCAGTTTAAAATGGGCATTAATGCAGATTCTATTTTTTTTTAAACTGAATCAGTATTTGAAATGATTCCTCATTAGTTTTTATTTTTTAGATCCTATTTCTCATTGCATTTCCAGTTCCACTTCAACATGTTATGCAGCCAAGTCCATGTCAGCTGTTATGCTTTTACCGTGAGTTAGCTCAGTAATGCTAAGCCACTGAAAACCCCTGCCTCTTAACTTTGTTCCTAGTGCCAGCCATTGTGAAGAACAAAACCTTTTCCTGGCACATTCACCCTCAGACACTTACTGTTATTATATTTAAGGTTTTTAACTCTGCTAAGAATGAAAGAAATCAAGATTCATTCTTTGAGAGCAGCAGGGACATAGCCAAACCCTTTGCCAGACCATTACTTACTCGGGTTAAGTTGCTAGAGACTTCTGAAATGGCAGCTAAAGTCCAAGTTCTCCCGAGTAACTGCAGACCCTTTCTGAATAAATAAACTAACATCATTTTAAAAAATGAAGATTTTGGAGACCATACAGTGTACTTTCTTGAAAACCTTTTTCCGTTGCAGTTTTATAGAATGCGGCATTGGCAGCTTGTTGCAATAAACTTGTAAGTAGTTCAGATTGTATTTTGCAGGCAAACGAATCAAATAATTATTTCATCTGAATGGTCTCCAGAAATCATGGGTTTGTATTGAGTCACTTTGGTTTTAATCCACAAGTATTTAGCAAGAACTTGAGAAGGGAAGAAATACTTTGCACCAATTGTACTGCAATGTCAACTCTTCCCATTTATTATGGCAGTGTCCATACTTGTCTTCTGAATGTTCTAATCCTTTTTCTGTTGGAGGGCCAGGCTTATATCCTTGCTTACACCAATGAGTGTAACCAAAAATAGGCCCAGTAAAACTAAGTAGAGTGTTTAGGGAATCAAGTCCTGTTTTACATAAGAAATCAGCTGTATTATAAAGAGCCTGACTGTAGCATATTGAAGAAAGAACTGACTCATAAGAGAGCTGCTCTTTAACTTTGCTGCAATAAGCCACCACATGAAATCCTGAAGAACAGCCACAGGTAAATACAATTACTCATAACAACAAACTTTGCTTTATTATACTTTTCAAATCACTTTTACTTTTGGAATTTATCTTTGCTTTCATTATAATGTATGTTAAAAATTTAAATAGTGCTGGAAAAATATGCTGCTTAAGCTAAATAAAACATACCTTTATTGACTGAACTGAGTGTGAAACAAAAGAAATCACATTTAGGTAAAGATGACCAGTGTTCTTCAGGAACATAATACAGTCATCACTGAACATCTCAAAGTCTACCAGCTTTGTTTTCTTTTCCAGTGCATAAACTAACTGCCAGTTCTCCTTGCTGCTGGAAGCTACTGGTGCCTTCATCAACTATAAAAATAAAATAAACAACTTTGTATTACTAAGAGATAATAAGAGTTACAAATGAGAGGTACAGGCATATAGGTGATCTCTTAGAACATTTTTATTGAAAAAAAAATACTGATTTGTATTGGGGGTGTTTGCCTGACTAAAACTGGAGGTTTTCAAACTCCCTTTACTTAGGCAAAATGGAAGAACAATTCAGTAACATCTGGAGAAGATCAAGTCTCAAGGATTAATCTATAGAAGATTTTAATGCAGTAAGTGCTTTCAGCATGGCCAGCAGAATTGTAGGTAGGTTGACTATATAGACCGAGATCACCAACTTAAATTTTAATATAGGGGAAATGACTGTTAAAGCATACTCATTTCTTGATGCTGTCAAAGGAGCTAGAATCAAACTGGCATGCTACAGGCAAGACTTCCTGTCACACTATCACTCTTTCAATCCATGTGGCTCTCTGTGTAATTCTCAAATTATTTCGGTAAGCTGTGAAGCACAAAATGAAAATTCAGCCTTACTATTTCTATATGATCTGCGATAGGGATCTCAATGAATCCTGTGACTCTAATTATCAGTTAAAATTACCTTATATTCTGTAGGTTCTCCATATGTAGTAAGAATATATAACTCATCATTTCTATGCTCGATGTGGTAAATGACCCCTTTTGTTCGTGCTTGTACAAGTGCAGGTAACTCAAAAGGATTTCTGCAGTCAACCAGCCAAACTTCTGAGGTTGTCTTGCTGTTGCTGTTGATAGTGAGAAAACGCCTGTCTTTTGTGAGATAAATGTCTACAAAGAATCTGTAGGGAATAATTAGAAAAAAAAAAGAAAAAGCCTAAATTTGATTAGAATTTTAAAAATGCATGTTGTTTCAGAATTATGGGCTTCCACTTGCAAGGTAAGCCTGTAAGTAGGCTGGAGAAATTTCAGGCTTCTTGACTCCCAAACCCACTTCTGCTGCATTTATCCTGGGATTCAAAAACCTGCAATCTTGTGTGTGGAACTTGAAATCTGCAAGGAAAGCAGTTCAGTTGCTGCCCAACTGAATTCAGGTTTTTGCATCACTGTGATAGACTGGAAGCTTATTGATCTATATAGGCTTTAAAATTCAGGCAAAATGAAGAACTTTTTATTTAGCTTGTAACCCTAATTTTTTTAAAATAGTAATAGATAATTAAATTAAAATTAATAAAGGACATCATGTGGGAACAGCAATAACAAAAGAGCTATTATAGAGATAAATTGATAAAATGTCTATTTGCTACTGACCTAACTTGGAAGCAAATAAGACAAAAAGTACTATTTTAAAAAAAATGAGACAAGATTGACAGTGTTGCAGTGATAAAGCTGGAAACTAGGAACTGGTTTTGGAACTGTCTAAGTTACCAGGAATTATCTACTGGTTTTAAATGCCTCTAAAATTTAGAAATAGAAAACAATGATAACCACTGGTTGCATGCTAGTATTAGAGAAGTTCAGGCTGAAATTCAGATTCAAATTTCTGTAAGTCATCCTAATTAACTGGAATGTCGCATCTTGAGACACTGCAGTTTCTTTGGCATTTTGAATCTTTTAAGACTGATGTCTCTAAAAGCAAAGCTGTCCAACACAAAGATCCAGATTTCATCAAGAAATTGCAGGGTTGAGTACCGTAATTGGCATCATACAGATCAGATACATGACTGCAATAATGGTATCTCTAGAATTCAAAATTGACTGGTGAAGGAAAGGATGCTTTAGATAGCATTTTCAGTGCCTTTAATTATTTGCAGGTGGAGAACTCCAATTTTTTTGGTACTATTGTTTCCTCTAATTGCACCCTCTTGACATCTTTAGGAGAACAGGCACAGAGAGGGGTCTAAAGTCTACAGGAAATCAGCTTCCTGCCTCTCTAATACCCATGAATTTGGCAGGAATGTGGCACTGCATTCAGCAGAGATTCCAACAGTTCAGTTCTGTTGACCCTTACCTCTAAGAGAGTCAAGCTGAAATGCAAGTTACACTTCTCCCCAAGGCCTCTGACCTTGATATGACAATTTTTTTTAATCCTTGTAGCTTTTATTTTTTAAGGAAGTCAAGAAATTTTCCACTTCTAAAAAAAAAATACTTCATTGCAATAGAAGAGCTGGTGAGATGTAGAATGGAACTGCTCAGTGGCAGTACAAAAGAATGTCTTGCCATCTCTGATGAAGAAGTAAGTTCAGCTATGAGCTGCAATAGCACATGACCCTTTAGAGTAAGTTTCTAGTAGATTTACTGTAATGACTGTGACCTTCAGAATTATGCCAACAGTTTCCCTGTGGGGAAGTGTCAGGTCAGTGGAACTTGATTTTCCAAAACTATGCATCAAATGCAGCTGGAATAAAAGGATCTTATTTACTCTATCTCAATTGCAGATTTTTTTTCCCAGATGAAAGTATAATTGAAATTTCTTTATTGAATATGTAACTTGAATTAAGGATAATCACAAACATTTATGGAATGCTGTATAAATCTACTACACTCTGCATGGTTGAAAAACTAGTTCTGCACTCAGTTTAGCAAAGAGCTTTCTTGTCTTCCTAAACCACTGCTTAAAGAAAGGTTATTGAGAGGGTATTCAGTCAACAATAGTTCTATCTCTGGGAATGCTGTAATGATTTTGCTCATCCATTACCCAGAGCAAGGATTAGCCTGAACTTCTGTGTTTTGTTTTTTTTTTAAAGATGTATCAGACATCAATAGCAGAGAAAACAAAATGAAATCTACTGTCTGATTTACCCTGTATGAAACTGTCACACATTCATTAAAGGACACCCTGACCCGAGAGTGACCTTGACATTTATAAACTCAATTGAACTCGTGAGGTAACAGAGGAAAGTTAAATCTCTGCTGATCACATATCAAAAGGAGAACAGAGCACATTCACAGACTGTATAAGGCACTGCTGACAGTGGAACACAACTTAAAAATGCATTTTACCATCTGAAATATGATATGGAACACTTTGTTTTCTGAACCAGTTATATTATACATATAAAACACTCTAAAATATGTAAAGGACTTGTTATATTTTTAGGTAAGTATTACCTTGCATCTTGTTCTGTATAAACTAACTTAGTATGTTTCTGATAAGTGAAAGTGGTCATAAACACATTCTGGCATTTAAGGTTCTTCTGAGTTGTGTAATACAGAACATCATTTGCAGCCCATTCTGGAAAAAAAGACAAATGCATATCAAATTTGGAACAGTGTACTATTACTGAGAGAAAATGGAGATCATGGACATTGGACCCAATGCTGAAAAAGGTGGGTTGCAGCTGACATGAACTGAGGACAGCATTTCTGCATCCTGCAGGGACTGGGGTAAGCTACAAAAAGCTTTTTCCCATGTTTTCTTTGAACACCACACAACAAGAATCTCATAACATATTAAAAAAAAAAAAAAAGGCAGAGGACAATGTTATGGGGCCCAGTAACAGGAAGCTCTTGACGCTGTGGGGGTTCTGGAGGTAATAGGAAAATAGGAGATATGTGGCCATTTAAAACTGAACAGAGAAACAGAGTTTTACATGGAGTCAGCGAGATAATAAAGACAGCATAAGCTCTGCACTGCTGCATGTGACTGCACGCAAACCATTCAGAGAAAAGAGATGATGCATGTGCCCTGTGGGGACTGCTGAGATAAAAATTCTCCAGTTTTCTATGCCTGTATATGTGTTCACCAACATTAGAGATGTATAAATACAAGAACCTTGTTGTTCTGAAGTTCAGTAATCTGACTGATCCAGCCACATTACTGCTCTCTCTGTTGCTCCTACAGCCACCAGAATAACATTTAACACTTATGCTTTAAAAAGTTATTGTATGTTGCCTTATATATAAATACTTTATATATAAATAATATAAATAATTTTCAATACAAAACCTGAGGAAGTACCACACTGAAGCAACACAAACAATTTGCTATCTGAAAAGCGATGTGGCTCCCAAGTGCACAGGCAGCTGAGGGTTCCCTATGAGGACAAGCCTTTAGAAAGGAAATCCAAGTTCTTCTATAGCCTAGCATTTAAGAAATCAAGATGTAAATTTTCAAGAACTTCTGTTTCTCTCCCTGCTATTGCATCTCTCTCAGTACAAGCATATACTTTGCAAGTGGTCATAAGACCTAATTCTCTTCCTCATAATTGACACACCTCTGTACTTCATGATATGTCTGTACCTCACTCACACCTGACTAAATTTACAAAAGTAGTGTAATCTCTACAATTCTGATAGTCATCTTTCGTACTCTTATTATCTGCCATTATCTGTCATACCTACTGTGGACCTGTTGGTCCAGATTCTTCTGGACCTAGATAGATGTTCAAATCAAGTATCGTGTAAAACATCACTGGCAAATTTGCAGGCTCAGTTTTCAACAGGCATTTTAATCTTCAGTTGTGCAAACACAACACTAAATTCTTGCTACTCTTCATTTTTATAACTAGGCAGTTTTACCTAGATTTTAGTTTTTCGACCTGCCCAGGCAAATTGCTTTCTGTACTATATAAATTTGATGACATCCAAAAATATAATCCAAAATACAAGATGTGGAACACTGTATACATACTATTATACTCTTTCTGCTATATTCTTTAACATACTATAAAAAAGAAAGATTTCCCATTTACTTCAGTTCACCTTTGCTTATTTTAACAGCAGTGTAAACCTCTGTAATCTATTCTGAAAGACTGGCTGACTTCACTGGGCTCTGAACTGTGATCCACAACTGAGATTCCAGTTGAAATTCCAGCCAATACCCAACAGTAGGTGGTACTTTCACACTTTTCCAGCAAAGCCAATTGTCTACAGCTATCAATGACTTCACTTGTAGCTGTAATAGTTTATCAACTAGAGCATTTCTCAAATCACAAACAGTTATGTCAGTAAATTTTTAAAGCAGCATATTGAATTCAATAGAAAAATTATATGCATGACTGTTCTAACATGTATAAATGATTGCTTTTACAGTGAAGGAAAACTTGTATCAAGAAAGCAGTCCCTTTCACCCACATCAGATAACTTGTAATTGTGCAGTGTGAAAGAAATCATAAATAAGAAACAATTCAACAGCTATATGATTAAATGCTGCCTACTTTTTTTTTTTAATATTTTAATATTATTTGTAGACTAAGAAAAACATTGTGTTAAAAGCTGGTGGGATCCACAGGATATTTATAAGCAACTTACCAAAGCTAAATACACTTGGAATTACTTTTTTCACAACAGGAAAATGACCAAGTTTCATAATAACACAGGTTGCCTCTTCAGAACTTTCACTTTTTAAGCTGATGGCCATGTATGTCTGATCTGGTGAAATTCTGATTCGTTGAATAAAGGCATCAGAAAAGCCAAGATCGTCAGTACTGAATAAAATGTCAACATTTCCTTCATCTACATAAAAAAAAGCAAACAATCCTAAGACACTGTCAAAATGAACGGTGGTTGTTAATGCCTGTATTTAACAAATCTGCCTGCAATATTCACAAGCATACTACTGGAATTTATCAACACCACCTATCTGTCTTGCAAGATATTTGCAAATGCACTTTATAAAACTAAACAAAAAATTCTACAGTTCCAGAAGAAAAAAAAGCCCTGTAGTTATTACTAAAAATATTTTAAAAGTGTAGATCCTGGCTTCTAGTAAACATATTGAATTTTACAGCTCAGATAGCAAAAGCATGCTTGTTTTCAATAAATACAATTAGTAATTTTTTTCCACCCCCTCAGAAATACAAAAGCATGAATGTTTTTTTCTGTTTTCAAAATGTTTAATTGAGGCTATGAAAAGAAGTGACTTCTCTCTTTCCTCTCCAGCAACTTGCCTTAGTATCAATATATACTATTCTCTAACTGTCTTCACCTCCCCTTTTCAGATTCAGGATTCTAGAATTATTAATCAATCATTAAAGAATTGTATAAAAGTATTTTTAGTTATTTTGAGAAACAGAGAAACTCAGCTTTAATGTAACAAAAGAACACTAAGTGATACATGTACAACATTTTTAAGAATCCTACCATAGTAGGAAGATAAATCCCTTACCATCATCTGCTTTTGAAAGAAATATGCAGCCGTTCTCTTCAAAGTACACATTCTTTCCAAACCTCATCTGTTCAATACAAAACAAGCATGTTTCAAGTCCAACATATAGTTAGACTATTTCCTTAGAATCCCTGTATTCGGTCATTGTTCTCTACAACAGAACTGTACCATATACAAATGACAGAATATAGCACATATATTTGGTACTGAATAAGGAATTGCACACATCACAAAGGTTCTTTCAAAGTTAGGGTACTAAAGCTTCCTCTACCTGCTTTAAATTTAACAAAAGCCTCAGATCACTGCAATTCTCTTGCAACTTACAATGTCTTGTATTCTTTATGCAAAAGTCAGATGATTATTGTATCTTTACTTGCTTTTGTCTATGGAGAAATTAAGGTAAATTCACTATCATAACAGGAATAAGTTGTTCTAAACACATGCTGCTACTACCCACAATTATTAAAATATTCAAAACTTCTGCCATAAAATAATGAACAAACAAGCATTTTATAGAAGGAATGGCTTCACTGCTTTTTATTTGCAGTTAACAATGGGAAATGTATCTTTTGCCACTTACCCTTGGGCTTTCTGAATTGAATGCGTACTTGTTGTGCAATTCTTCTAGTTTTTCTTTGATTCTCTTTGTCATGGGTTTGTATATTGGTGAAATGTTATTCCAGTTTTCCTGCTCTGATTTCAGAAGATTCTTGTGCTCTGATGTTACTACGGATGTATTTTGCTTCCTTTTGGAGGAGATTCTTGTTCCTTCCTGATAAGTAAGGAAAGACAGCAATGGCTACAAGCCAGCACACTGTAGACCAATATGAATATACTGAGGCAGTATTTCCTGAGCTACAGACCCCAAACCAACTTTGCATTATTACAACAGTATGTGCCATTAAAAAGAAAAACCACAGTTGAATTATGTTTTTATTGTAATTCTTCCTGATCTTTTGAAGAGGCATTGTCAAATGTGCTTCACTTGACACATTTATTGTCTTCTCTTCAAAATTTAGGGTACTATTAATATATGCTCTTAATTGATTATGAGTAAATATATTTGCTCTTTTTCTAGAACTAGGTTTCAGTTAATTTTTATGGAATTCTATTATTTTTCCTTCTTCACTGGTGTTCTTTCATAATTTCCTGTCTTTAGAGTGTAATTTCTCATTTCCTTCCCTAGACAACAATACCACCCACACCTATGTCCCAGTACCTAGGAGTCCTTGTTCAGGTTCTTGCTCCATTTCCTCAAAAGTGTTAATATAAATGTTCATAAGGCACAGAATGAAGTGGAGCAGTGAACTTTTACGGGTTCTGCAACAATTTTATCAGGAATAAGTTTAAGGAACTGGTTTTCCATGCTACCTCATTGCCAACAAAGCTGTCTTCTATTGTAAAAATGTTAAATATGTGTTAAAACTGCTAGAACAATGCTAATTCCTCTTGCATGATGTGAAATCTCACTTGATCAAGTAATAAGCTTAACAACATGTATTATACTACATAACACTGCACAGATCATACAGAGTAGCAGTTTCTAACACTCAGTGTATGATATGAACATGTCTCAGCCTAAAAAGCAGTCTATGCTTTATACTCCATCCTCATTTTGCATCAAGAACTGTTGGTTTGTTCCTAGTTTTTTTTTCACAAATGCTTGAGAATCAAAATCTGAACATTACAAGTAGACTTTGAAGGGAAAAGAAACTATTTGCTCCATTTACCAAACTCCCTGTGAACATAAAGCACATCATTGAGGCGATAAGAGTGTCTGTTATTGGTTCAGACCAATGGGTCTCTCTCACCTGGTACATCAAATTGGAAGCAGAAGGCAAAGAAATAGTGAAAGCCCTTAGAGAACCTCTGGAGCAACTGTGCAATTGGTCAGGGTAAAGAAACTGCAGGATGCTCAAGTTGTACCACCTTCTTCCCAGTCACTGGAAAAACTGTTTTAAGAAAACACTATTCTTCAAACTAGATGTAACCAAATAAAAAACTCAGAGTGGCCATAAAGAGATACTTAGGAAGGCATAAGAATGGGACAAGCCAGATTATTTTCCTCAACAGGTATTTCCCCAGCCTTCAACAATTTTAGCTCAGGCATTTTCTGAGCTGAACGTGGTTTCTGGATATTTAAAAACTCTCATGTATGTATGATCTCCCCTTATACTATTTCTCAAGCACGAGTCCTATGAGGAGAGGCTGAGGGAGCTGGGGTTGTTTAGCCTGGAGAAGAGAAGGCTCAGAGGAGATGTCATCACTCTCTACAACTCCCTGAAAGGAGGTTGTAGCCGGATGGGGGTTGGTCTCTTCTCCCAGGCAACCAGCAGTAGGACAAGAGGATATGGTCTTCAGCTGTGCCAGGGGAGGTTTAGGTTGGATATTAGGAAGAAATTCTTTACAGAGAGAGTAATCAGACACTGGAATGGGCTGCCCAGGGAGGTGGTTGATTCTCCGTCCCTGGAGATTTTTAAGATGAGACTGGATGTGGCACTTAGTGCCATGGTCTGGTAACCACGGTGGTAGTGGATCAAGGGTTGGACTTGATGATCTCAGAGGTCTTTTCCAACCTGGATGATTCTATGATTCTATGTAAAATTTTAGCTTCCACAACTTATTTTGGCAAGTTCCACTCTTTAGGAATATTTTGATGATTGCCCTCTTTTTGTTTTCAACAGTTCCCATTGTATTTATCTGGAAATATTATACACAGCTGGTGGTCACAGTGTAGGGATATATTAAAGAGTTACTGTACACCTCCCTGCCTGGGGAAAAAACAGTAATCCAGAAACATCTACATAGCAGAGGATCTCAGTAACAATCAGTTTGCAAACATTTGCTTCAAAGCAAACAGGCATAGCTTCCCTTCAGGTGAAAACCATCTGTTTGTATCCTGAAACCAGTGTCATAGACCAGCATTTGTAACTGTGTTAGTGAAGTGCCAATGAATAAACTGAACCACACGTTCTCATCCATCCAGACTTCCTATATTCTTCTTGAAACATTTGTTTACATTTAAGACACAGACTTAGGAACTGTTTATGGTGACAAATAAAAGCAATTTTAGGACAACCCCACATCCATCTGAAAACATGTTTAAGATCAAATAAACCAAAACACAAATCTTTTAAAACAGTACTTATGCATTTGCATTATGCATAGAAATCAGTTTCCAGGCTGTCATACTACAGTAAACTTTTATAATACATTTAGCAAAATCTGTATTAAAAATACTGGAACAGAACACCTAAAATTATTTCAGATTGTTTTCTGACTCTGTGCATGATATGCTGCCACCCAATTATACAGTATTTACTTGCGTAAATTAATACAAGTACCTTTTAAAGTATAGTTTATAACATGTGAACACAATTATATCAATATTATATTTTAATATTTAATATGGTGTAAACCATGACTTACTGGTCAGCACAGAAAAAGACAAGTTTTTTTTGAACCAGCTCACAATGGTTAAGCATGGTGTCATCAGTTTGGATACTTTGCCTCTACACTAGCTGTCCCTGCAGTCTTCTCCTGACGCTTTACCTGAACATTTCTGGAAGATACCAGTTTTTTAAAAATCACTACGCCAGGAAGATCAATGAAAATGCAGCTTTACATCAAAGCAGTGCAGGAAAGTTTAACAACGGTACGTGTCTTTGAATGTAACTGATATCCTGGTATTTATCCCTCTGCACCAAATTCTCCAGGACAACTATGTTTCCTCAACATGTGAAAAGTATGGCTGGCTTCCTTAACAGATATGCCAAGGTGGTTGTTGACATTGAGTCTGTACTTAAACAGCATACCTTGCAGGAAAAGAATCTCCACGGCAAGATGCTTCCAGATGGTGCGGTCCTGTGTGTGCATCCTGAACAGTTCAGGATGTGGCATTTTTTTGCTTTAATTTTCCTACAAGGACATGTTGTTTGAAGATAGTTAATACTAGAGCAGTACTTGACACTGATGCTCAGCCTTTGGAGAAGATTTCGCAGTCCAACACAGCACATCGTAACCTTCATTTCTTGATAGCCAACCTGAAATTTCTGAAAATCCCGATCTGCAGATCATTTACACTGTGTGTAAAAAAAAGGTAACATAAACTGCAGGTAAAACTTCCTCTCTCACAGAAATGATATTGATTCATTAGGTAAATCATATGAGAAGACACCGTAAAACTTTGGCTGTTTCTTATCAACTGGTACCTGCAGTTTAACCAGCACGTTCCTGGCGGCTCAAGTTTAACTCCAGCGAAACTATAAGGAGAATGAAAAGTGCAACTACACACGTTCAAACGCTGAAGAACATAACTCTAGGAGAGTTTGGAGAAGTCGAACCCCCCGTTCCCCCATCATCCAACACCAAACCCACGCTCTCTCTCCAGAGGATCCCTCGGCAGCAGGAGCTGACCCCGCCTGCGGGGGTCGGGCCTCACGTGTACCGCCGGGGCCGGGGCCGCAGCAGCCGGCGCGGCCCCGCTCACTCCAGCGCTGTCCCTCCCGCTGCGGCCCGCGCAAGGACTCGCCGTGGCGCTCCCGCTCCGCCGGGCCTGCCCGGGATAAGATGCCAGCCGGGCGGCAGCGCTCCTGGCTGCCGCTGCCCGCAACCAAGATGGCGGCCGGGCGCTTCAGCGGCTCAGCCGCTGATGTCAGCGCGGGGGCTCGGAGCCGCGGCGGGCGGGCTGGCGCGGCTTTCTCGGGTGGCTGCCGTGCCACACACAGTCCGGTGCCCGGGCGCGGAGGCCACAGGCGACTTGTCTTGAGGCGCGCTCCCGCTCCCGCGGTGCCGGGCCTGGAGAACGCGGAACTCCTCGGCCGCTTAGAGATCGGCTCAGCACTGCCCCTAACAAAGATGGCCTCCCTCCTCCTACTGCTCCATCCCTAGCCCGGCCGGTCCCGGAGCCGCTGGATGCTCGGTGGCGCGGCCCTGCCGGCCCGGCCAGTGCGCCTTTCCGCCGTGCCAGCTTCAGGCGCTCCCGTCGTGGCATGGCCGAGGCTGCCGGCTCCCCGCGCCGCCCCGCCGAGGGCAGGTGCGGGGCGAGCGGCGCGGGGGCGGCCCGAGCCCGCTGGCGGCTGCTCGGACAGGTAGGGGGAGCCCGCGGGCGGGAGGGGCTGCCGGCATGGCGGGGGGCGGCGGCGCGGCCCGAGGGAGCGCAGGGACTCTGGTCCCGCGGGCCGGGCTGTGGCCCTGTCGGGGTGCTGCTGCCGCGGGGCTGCGGAGCGCTGTCCGCACCTCTGGCAGGAGGATTGCCGGCAACAGTACGGTGGGGTTTGCAAATAGGTTTGCAGCCTGGAAAATGTGGTAATAATAAAAATATGTACGTGTATATACGCACCCACGGCTCTCTGAAGAGAGGGGAAGTGGAGGGGCAGGTACCAGTCTCTTTCGTGAGCAGTGACAGGACTCGAGGAAGCTGCATGGATCTGAGTCGGGAGGTTTAGGCTGGGAAAAGGTTCTTTGCCCAAAGGGTAGTTGGAAACTGGAACAGGCTTCCCAGGGAAGTGGTCTCAGCACCAAGCCTATCTGAGTTCAAGAAGCATTTGGACAATGCTTTCAGGATTCTTCATCAGTCCTGCGCAGAGCCAAGAGATGGATCCCTTCCAACTCAGGATATTCTGATTCTAAATTGTGCCTTAGATTCCCAAACAGTCCATGGCCAGTGTTAAGGGAGGAGGGCCAGCCTCACATTGGCACCTTGTAGCCTGAGGGCACTACCTTGGGATTTCAGGCCATGGTTTGACACTTTTAATCGATGCTGCTGTGGCTGGTTGTTGCGGGTTTTACCCCATTCCCGCTCTTTGCTCCCTGTTCCCCAAATTGCCTTTCATGGGGAGCGGGTGCAAGACCTCACTCACCTGGCAGTGAAAACTGCACTTTGCTGAGGCTGGCTGGGCCATGCCTGGAGGAGGATGAGGAGGAAGAAGGAGCAAGTGGTGACCTGTACTGTGGTGACCTGTACTGTGGTGTCAGCAGCTTCTCAGCTCCAGCCTTCCATACTGTTTTAGACCCTTTAGGAGCTATGCAAGGTTGGAAAGGATTCCTCTGCAGATAAGCATATGTGCAAAGGCTTAAAAAAACCCAGATCAGCTTAATTAGTTGTTATTGTTATGGGATGTGATGTTTACAGCTCTAACTCAAATGTTTAGTTCTCTGCAAATGCACACCTGGAGCTGCCCATTTGCAGCTCTCCCTGAGAAGGTGGGTTGAAAGGGCCACCTGGCTGCAGCTGGGTAACGGAGTGAGAGGCCTGAGGGCATCAATATTGCACTTTGTATGTGGTTTTGGTTTGTAGATTTGCCGATCCTGTTCAACAGGACCAAATTATACTCTAAAGCAGGAAATGTCAAAGTTAGTGGTAGGAGTATCAGGTTTGTCTTTGTAGGTTTCTGTTCTAGCAGACTATGTAAGCTGGGCTCTGTGGCTATACTAGCTGTTACTTGTTTTCAACATATACTGCCTTTGGCATATTCCTGTCTCTTAAAAATCACACGGAGCTTTTCATAACAACAGAATGGGATTGTGGAAGGGTGCATGTAGATATTTGGGGAGAAGGCTTCTGTTTCTTCCTCAAACTGCATGTATTTATGACCTTTTCCTCTACCTTTTCCTTGGGTTTTCCCATGTTCTTTAGCTTTTCTTTTGATTTTTGTATGGTACAATGAGCAAGGATCAATTTAATCTTACTGATACATCTGAAGTAAAAATCGGTTTTGCACTCTTTACTACAGAAGTGCTCAGATCTATCTATGGATTGGAAGAAGGTATCAACCTCCCTTTATATCCATCTTTAAAGGAGCACTGTCAAAGTGTTTCTTACAGTGCTTTTAAAAACACATTTCATACTGCTTATAATAGTGGCTTATGTGAAATCAGTTCTGTGGTGTGTTTATATATTGAATTTGCTTTCATTCAATGCACACACAAATTGATTTACTATGGTAAGGATGCTTGAGTGCATGCTCGCTGATTTAATTAAGAAAAAAGCCCTTTTATGAGGTATCCTACGAAGCTAGCATAAAGAACTAGGGGTTTGCATAATTACCTATGTGTTCTTTATCAATACAATGTTTTATGTATGTAGTGAGTTTGAAGTTTGGCAACATTTTTAAACTTAGCCTGTCAGAATCAAGAAAAATATTTTTTGCATTAAATCAGTGCTAAGGGAAGTTAGCCATTCATTTGAAAATGCATTTGAAAATAACAGGAGTAAATTCTCTAAGGCTGTTTTTTGAGTTCTGTCAGTCTGTGCAACTGGTGGCATTATCCAGTCTGTAGTTTTTAGCAACAAAGTTAGAGAAATAGGCATGCATTAGGTTACTCCCTATATGTATGTTTGGCTCCCATTGCTTTAAAGCAGCCCCCAAACAACATGCTTTTCTGAAAATTAGGTCTTGATGGTTTTCTTTAGTTGTCAAGATGGTCCATTTTGTTTCCAGGCCTGCTGCTATTACGTGAAGGTCTTAATTTTGCTGGTCTTTTAATTTGGTTCTCCTGTTTTGATATTTTTACCATTTCCTTCATGTATGTATTTTTCTCATGTGGTACAGAAGTACAAAGTAGTATGGACAGCACACAGCCATTTTTCATACTTTGTTGAAAATGCCTGTGCCTTTCATATGCTGAGACCTGCCAATAGATCCAAAAGCAGTAAGCTTGATGCCTCAAACCTGCTGTTAGTTCCTAACAGCGTAGCAAACACAATGGTTCTCTTCACATATGTAGTACTTCCAAGCATCCTGCAAAATAATAGGTCGTGGCCCCAAATTGTAAGGCTGTTGAATGAGAGTGCATTTTCATTTAAAGCATGTGTGATGAAGGTTGGATACAGCAAAAAAAATCAGTGACCCGTTATTTTTTGTACACAACCTATATGCAAAGCTTCCATTTCAAGTTTCATAATTCTGAGAGCTGTTTCTCATTTGATTTATCTCTAGTTGGCAAAAATCTGTAAATTGCAGTGCTGTCCTACTCAATGGAGCTATTCTTGTACTTCTATGAATTTATAGTTATGACTTTATTTTCTCCTCTGATTTTGGTGGGTTTTTTTTTCATCACTGTGGACTGCATATGCACCTTAATTTTAAAAATGCAATGGCAATTATTTATGTATTCTGTCCAATGTTAGGAGAAAAGTTAAATCTAGGATATCTCTCCTTCCACATCAATGACCCAAGGAATAAGTCTTTTTGTCTGGCAGGGAAGTGCTGTCTGTGTTCCGTGTTCTGTGCAATGACACAGCTCAAATGGGCGGTATGCCAGGTTTTCCTGCAAAAGCAGGTTGATACTTTGCTCCCTGAGGATGGTTGAGTGCAGCAGACTATGCAGGACAGAGAGTCCATGTTTTCACTTTCCCAAACAAGTATTGTAATCATTTATGAAATGCAAATGACCACGTTCTGTCTCTGCCACTGCCTTGAATTCTTCTGTCTCTTAGCACTGAACTTGTTGCTGTCAGTGTATTTTGGGGCTCACATAAGGGCTGGCTCATGCATCAGTCCCCTTGTGGGGGCCTGGTAGGGGGATACACCATTGTGGTGTCTGTAACTTTGGGGATTGGGACAGGTGGCAAGTTTCTCAACTCGGGCAGCTTTGACAGCAGTTCTGCAAATGTGCAGCTGACAACTTGTAAGGTAGGAGGTGGTCTGCCAGGGAAACACATAGTACTCAGACACCAGAGGATCATGTTTTGGGTTTAGCTATTTAAATTCTAGAGATGATACTCTTGCTTAATTTTTTTTTCCCCTCCCTCTATAGGAACAATGAGTGGCACAGAAATTTCTTGGTGAGGGCACTGCTTGGATTGTGAAACTTTGTGAAATGAGAGGATGGGGAGAACCCGGTTTGCCCCTCTAATTTTTGCATGGGTCTGCTGGAGCAAGAGTTCAAAAAGCAACCTTGTGTACTTCTGAACACAGTACATTTGCTTTACAGTTATTGAGACATAATTCATAACCCATCCCCTTGACCCTTACCATTAATACCATTGTTATTTTGTTCAGGCTTGACATACTTGGAGTAGTTTTTCATAACTATTAGCTGATAGCATAGCCATTATGGTTTGCCTCTTTACTTAAATAGGCCTGTGTTTGTTCTTTCCTTTAAGTTTGATTCTTGCCATTTAACTTGTTCCTCATTTCAAAGGTTCTGAAGAAAAAGCACTTGAAAGATGTGCATCTCCAACAAGTATCCGTAAGAAGGTTTGCATCGTTCAATCTCTTTTCAGTAGAGGACCAGAATATGGAAGAGGAAACTGGGACCTGGGTTCAATATAAAAGCATCTTTTATCCCAAGTATAGTGTGTCCTTAAGGTAAGCATTGTTAGAGTTTTAAGTACTTTCTAAGATCTCGAATGGGCCTCAAATGTAAAACTCATTAGTCCTTCTTACAGTGTTTTTTATAACTAGGGCGTAACAGTTTACAAATAAACTGTTAGATGTTAGTTTTTTGTTATAGTAAGCAGCTTGTCTGATTTTTTTTTCTTTTTTCTTCCTC